AATAGATTTTTTAAAAATCAAGTCAATTATTATTCAAGTTACCAATAAAATAGAGACTTTCTGATAAACAGGAAATTTTGTTAACAGCTAAGTGTTCATCTTTGCTAAGTATCTTTATTTCTTTTTTGTATATAGATGGATATAGATTTTTATTCTCCTTATTCCAAGAGTTGGGGCTGTTTATCAATTGAAAATTGACCTGAGTCTTCAGAGGATATAGCCTAGGTTTAAACAGTAATTTTGAAGTGATTTGAGACAGAGAATATTGAATCAACTTGGCACAATTAGGAAATGCCCATCTGAAAAGAAAGAACTTCCATGAAAGAAATACACAGGTGGGCACTTCCCAATTTAGCTATTAAAGTGATAATGATACAGAAGGAAGGAAGGAGGGATGGAGGAAGGGAGGAAGGGGGTGGATCTTGGAGTAAGAAATCCATGGATTTGCCCTTTCTGTTAAACCACGTGGAATCATTGGCTCTAAGTAACAATATCCAAGAGTAATAGACTCTTGTTCAATAAAACAATTAATAGATATTTGTTGACTTCTATGACTAGTCATAGAAGTATGACTAGTGCTATAAGAATTATTGATGGTTAATTTCTGCAAAATTCCCAATTGGGCCATGTTTAGATCCCTTTAAGCACTGGTAAACAAACTGGAGATTTACACTGACTTATTTTCTTATTCTGCTTTCTATTTGTCCATAAATAGGCACCTTTGGAAAATTTTTTCACACCAAGCTACCAACTGAATTATGGTTGATATTGTTACTTTATATAAACCTACTCACTGACTTACCCATCTTGCTCTCAATAGAAAGTCAATACTCTTTACAGACTGTGTTTTCTATCTCTGTCAAATATGATAAAACTTACATTGCTGCCCACAATAGTAAAGTTTCCACTCACACTGGAAGACAGTATGATGTAGTGGTTAAAAATGACCCTAGAGGGATACTGCTTGGGTTCTAATCCTGCTCTGCCACTTACCACCACATGATCTCTGGCAAGTCATTTAACTCCTCTGCATATCAGTTCCTCAAATACAAGATGAGGAAAATAACGCATCTAACAGGGACTTTATAAAGATGAACTGAGATAAATACATGCAAAACACTGAAAACAGTGATAAGCTTGTTCTGTATTTTTTTTTTTTTGAAAATCTGTTATTTAAGTCTTGCTAAGTCTTCCATTGGAGAGTTTTAGCTACATGTGTCATTGCTAGTCCATAAATTCCTGAAGCTAGTCAGGGATGTTTCAACTAAATTCTCCGTGACTGAATGTCGCACATAGTGTGCTCGAGTGAGACTTACTAACTGTCTAACACAGGCAGTTTGGAGGGAGGAAGGAAAGAAAGAATCAAACAGTCTGGTTAGCCACAGTCCTTTCCATAATCACCCCAAACAACTAACTCTCTGTGTAGCTTCTACAGGAGGGGTTCCTCAACTTTTTGAAAGAAAGTCCTTATTTTCATTTTTATAAAGTCTCGAAGTCATCAATGGTGGGTGAAGTCAATTCTAAAACACCTCAACATAGCTGGGGAAGGAGGATCTCCAACTTTAAAAGCATAATATCTACTGCAGCCTGGAAATTCCCATATATTGAATTAAGCTTATTGTCTTTGATAATGCCTGTTCTAGAAAATGCTACATGGTTTCTTTAGAAGAGGTCTGACCCAGAGGAAGGAAAGGAGAAACTAATACTTATTAAGTATTGATTACTTTTAAACATATACTCCATTTAATCCTTCAAACAACCCTGTTATAGTTTTAAGAGAAATGATAATTATAGACTTTAGTTTGTGAGTTAACTATAAGCATTGCAAGACTCTGAACTCAGAACTTTGGTGACCTGCAATTTATTACTAGTAAGAAGCCATTTAATTCATATAACAGATATTTATTGAATTCTTTCTGTGTGCCAGGAACCATCTAAGTGCTAGATACATAGATCTGGAAGAGAGAAAACTAAATGAGTCTCTGTTCTCATGGAAACTAGAGTCCAAAAGGGAAATTAATATATGCAAATGCAGTTCAGAAGTACAAGTTATAACCTCCAGCGTAAAAAAACAAGGATTAAGGGAATCCACCGGGTTAAGAACGTCTTCTATTTGGATTCATGTCGCATTGGTACATGAGGCTCATATGTAGGTTCCTTTCTGAATGGTCAGCTTCTGCCATTAGAAGAAAAAGATGCAAAAAAACTACTTACAGAGCTGATGATTACCATCCCTGAATCATTAATTTACAGCTATTAAGTAGAAATAAGAAGCCATTTATAGATTTGTTTCCACTACCTATTATAAAACGCTGAATAACAGAGACAGTCTTATTAGTGTTTGAATCTTCAGTGCACAGAATTTTGTTCAATAATGAGAATTCCATACATCATGTCTCTTACATTGCATATGACTGAATTGATCTGAAAGAAGAGATGTCTGCTATATCTATCTAAAAAACAATGGTTTTTCCTTGTGGCAGAAACACTCACTGACTAAATATACATGGGCTCACTTCACATTGCCCAGAATTCTATATTTCTGGGCCATTGACTCTAAACAAATGTAATGTATATCCTTTTGAGTCAAAGTATTTAAAGCTAGTAGGCAAATCTTTAACTGCTCTTTTCTCTTTTGCCTTGGTGTATAGTGATGTTATAACTAACGGAGACTCAATCATCTTGGAACGCTGCATGCTTATGTAAAATACAGTCTCCGCCTCTGCCATAATAATGCATGTTGTAAATGATGTAGGAAGAGTACATGTATGTGTTCAGCCATTGAGATTTCAGGATCCATTTGTTATTGCAGCATTCCTAGTCCATACCAACTAATATAATCCTCAATTTCTGTCATCAAAGAGTTCTCGTGGGTGGGGATAACTCAGTGATTCTCCAGGGAAACTAATGCCCAGGCTGACTTATTTAGGTAAAGAAAATAAACAGTACTCATTTATAGAAAGCTCAAACTTGTCTACTCCAACTTTGGCTTGGAGTAGACTGATGGTATTCAAATTATGTTTGTAGAAATCTAAGTGCTATACAGTGCCTCAGGAGTCACTGGTGAGGTTAAGAGCACAAAACAAGAAAAAGACCCTCTTGCTTCCAATACTAAGCATAAAAGTTTCACTTTTTCCCTTGTTTTACTTGGACTTCTGTGGAGTATTTTGTCAAAATAATATTGTTTTTAAAAAGGTAGAACTTGGGGCTGGTGGAGTGGCTCAAGTGATACAGTGCCTGCCTAGCAAAGTCTAGCAAGCATGAGGTCCTGAGTTGAAGCCCCAGTGCCACCAAAAAAAAAAAAAAAAAAGGTAGAACTGGTTGGTAAACCATCAGCATATTCATAAAGGACAAGAACAGATAATCAAAATTACCATAAAATCAAAATTATTATATTGAGTAATAAAGGATTAAGGTCAAATATAGATTATAGTCACTTTGTCTCAAATTAATTTTCAGAAGAGATTGTTTTGTTCTTAACTCATCTTCAGCTACTTTCAGAAATGAGTCTTTTTTCTCTAGTAGTTTTTTTTTTTAATTTGGCAGTCATCTACCCATTGTGAATCTCTTTTCAGTTACTGAAATTGATAGCTTTCTCCAGTCCAATGCAAATAGGCTACCAAATAGCTATTACAGAGGTACAGTACAAAGAGTGTCTCCAGAAAAGCAATGCTTTGCCAATGTATAGCATGACCAGGATATCAACACCTTTCAAATGAACTATTCTAATTTTTCCATTTGGATATAAATGAGACATAGTATATGTCCTAAAAGAATTAATTGTGAGCAGTGGATCTACTAAACAGAGCCCTGGACTTCTGTTCTTTCTTTGGTATTACTCTCTCTAGATTAGCTATCATCTCTGAATTTTCTTTCCCTCATTTGAAAAAACTAAAATTGGAGATTGGAAGTAGGAAAATGGGAGGAGAAAACAGTTGATACTTACCCTATCCCAGAGGTAGCTGAGAGTATCAAATAAAATCATAGATAAGAAAATGTTTGTATAAGAAGGCTATATAAATACAAGATGAAGGTATTTGTATATCTAGAATTAAAGGTCCTTCAGAAGTGAATTTATAAAATGAGACTTTGGTAAGCTTCTAACATCCAGTTTCTTGAATGCAATACAAGGAAATATGTAGCCCTTTCCATAGCTGGAAACTCTGGTCACAGCAAGTGCACAATGGGGCTTTTAGACAACCTTAAGAAAATAGATGGAGGCTGAGACACAGTTTTCTGCTTTCATTGAGAGAAAATATAAATTACAGGGGAGGGGGTAGTACTTCATTCTTTAATCATAAGTTTTTCCTCTTCAGTGCTGTTTAGGGTACTCTGAAATAACTGTTTTCACAGAGGCTGAGACAAACCAAATAAGCTTTTTATTGCTGTATTGTCCAATTCCTGGAAAAACAGAGGAAATAATGAAAATGAAGACAGACTAGTGTCCCAGGTTTTTTCCTTACCATGCAAAGAGACCAAACTAAAATTGTTCCCTTTTAGGCTCTCTGATTATACTTGTGACTCAGGAAGGTCAGAGAGGATTACGCACATGCATGTATGCACACAAAGCACATTTTCATCCAAAGTTGATTGCTATTTCTTTTTAACTCTTATTTGACATACTACTGGATTAATACTCTCATCTCTGAGTTACCTAATTTGTCCAATTCTAAATTTTCACAATATTAAAAATATTCTTCAAAACTCAAGAAATAATTTTCTGTCAGCCTAATATTCAGGCAACTGACATCTAAAGAAGCAAATCACTGTGTCTGAGCATGCATGGAAATCCCAAAATAGAGTTCTGCCTTGCCAAGCAGCACTTGATCTTTGACTCTCCTTAAAAGAATATCATTGAAACATTTCAGCCCAATGACACTGATTGTAGATTCTTTTTATCTGAGAAGTATCCTTGTTCTAAAGTCTCTCCCAAGCATTCCTCAATCTCACACAATCTGCAGTCATTTCTTGTCCCTTATCTAGAGCTGTGACTCACTTACCCAAGGGAATTTTTTCCAGCAGGTAGAGATAGCTCTGAAAAAAATCATGGCGAATGGCTTTGTGAAGGATAAAGGACATACTATGTCGACAGAGTTCATCATCGGTCTTCTGCCAGCGTGATCTAAAGGCAAAATGGGCTCCCAGGTGGGCCATGGTTTAGGGGGATAATTATTCCTGAGGAGAAAGGAAGTTTGTCTGGCTGCTTCTTTGAATTAGCTTTCTCTTCCTAAAAGAACTTGAGAATGTCATTTTAAACCAGACTTCTGTCCATCTATACCAGGACAGGCTGTCTTGGGGTGGAGGAGGAGGGACAGCAGACGTGGGGAGGTCAGGCTGTTGGCACATTCGTTGATTGCTTATGCGACACCACTCCAAGCCAGCAGGTGCTAAGTAAAGATGAAACCAGGCTGAGTGAGATCCACTTCATCCAGGAAAAAAGCACACTTCCCTCTTGTAGCTGTTACTTCAAACAGGCTCCAGCACAGCCTGCTGACACCCTGAGTACTTGCTTTAATTTGATTCCTAAATTGGAATAGCTTAATTTCCATTTCAAAGAGTTGTGACTATTTTGCAGGAGATCCTGTTCCCTGATTTCCATCACTCCTCTTGGAACACTGAGTCCTCAAGTTACAAGGACCCTTCAAAGTCATCTTAGCCATTCACATTCCTTTCATCAGTACAATTCTTCCCAAATCATTTCATAGAGAAGGTTATGCATTTCCTATTTTTAAGGATCTTCAAGAGACAATTATTTGAAAGCCTGTTTTGATGTTTAAAACCCTTCTCTATCAACAACTTCTTCCATTTAGCTTGCCCTAAACAATGCCTATTCATGTTAGCCATTTTCTTCCTCTCTGCCTATTATGGATATGATTTTCCTCCTAAGTACATTTGTTTTCTATATACTAAGTACCTTCTGTTTGTCCCTCCAAATCCACTCTCCACTATTTCCATGTTACTATGTTCCCTGGGAAGCTGACCTATATTGACTACATCTGTGGACTCCATTATTGTCTAGATTCCAGTTGGGTTCAACCACTAAATAGTGCCAGCAGAAGACTGGACAAGAGTGAAGTCAAGGTATTTATTTCCCCTGGCACCTTCCCTATGGAGGTGCCATAGGCTGACTGCATATTTTAACAAAAAGTCAGCTCCTACTGGGGGTCTTTTCATGTAAATATCCTCTCCTGGTTCTGATTATTTCTCTTTGCCTTACTGCTTAAAATTTAAGGGTAGTGATATGCCAGGCTGTTTTAAGTCCTATTCCTTGTAATTTCCTTACACTTACCCATAGCTTTGTAAATAGTCCCCTATTAAACTAGCTCATATTCCCAGCTTATGAATTGCATGTTTCCTGCAGGGTCTATGACTACTGTTTTACTCCTCTAATATTCCTAACAGGAAAATAAATATGAACTCAATGCATTATTGGCCCCATATCATATATGCCAATGACCCCATATGTGTGTACGTGCATGCACATATATATGTGTATACATACATCTCAATACATACATGCACACATTATGGTAGGCAGCTTCTAAGATGGCCTGAGTTGGTCCAGGCTACTCTAACATAGAATAACTCAGTGGGTGGCTTAACAATAAACATTCATTTCTCACAGTTCTATAGGCTAGGAAGTCCTAAGATCAAGGTGCTAGAAGATCCCATGTCTAGTAAGAGTTCTCTTACTGGTTTTCAATGACCCTCTTTTCAGTGTATGTACACATGGCAGAGAGAAGAAAATTAAGTTTTTTTGTCTCTTCTTACTAAGGCACTAAGCTCAGTTATAGGGCTTCACTTTGTTTCCTAATTATCTTCCAAGGCATCATCTCCAAACCCCATCACATTTGGAGTTAGAATTTCAATATTAGAGTTTTGGGGAGACACAAACATATAGCCTACAGCACCCCCTACAAAATCTCACTTCCTTCTTACCTATTATTCATGCCTTTCTGTCATCCTCTTTCCTCTAGTTTAGGCTGGACTTGCTGACTCAACTCTAAAGAATCATACATGGCAGAATATTGCTTCCAAATGAGATCACAAAAATCTGCCGTAGCCATCTCTCTCTCTCTTGCTTATTTGCTCAGAGGGAAGCCATCTGCCTGTGGCGAACTACCCTAAGGAGAAGCCCAAATGTCCAGGAATTAAAGTCCTCAGTTAAACAACCCAAGAAGAACTGAATTATACTGACAACATGAGTGAAGTTGGAAGCAAATCCTTTCCTGGTCACAGTTTGGCTGTGACTTGATGAGAAGCCCTGAGCCAGCTAAGCCATACCCTGTTTACTAACCCATAGAATCATATTTGTTCATCAAAATCACTGAATTTGGGGCTAATTTGTCAAATGCAGCAGTGAATTACTATTTTACACATCATCCATGGAATGTTTAAGAAATGAAATCTATCCATAACTTTTCCTTAAGTTTCACTTGTGTGTTAATCTTTTACTGGGAAAAAAAAAAAAGAAGAAAGGATTCCATTTGTTTGACTCTAAATTATTTTCTGTTATCTTCCTATGCTTTTGTATTCCCATTTCCCACTGTCCCCAACAGAAGGGACATTAATTCAATTTTGGCAGGATTGTCCTTATGCTTGGCTTTGGGAATTGTCTAGATTGCAATGAATTGCCAATTTTTCTTCTGCCACAGTTTGCTGTCATGGATTTGTACATCACCAGGCCTAAGCTAATCAATAAATTGTGTTCCCCTGACTCTAGTTTTCATTTGGGAGTAGGCATATTATCTAAATCTGTATTTTAACACTAGCTTGTGTTTTCCGTGCTAACAACATAGAGTTTTTTCTAATGAAAATAAAATCCTGCATCACTTTTATTCAATAAACTCTCATGAAGATGGAAATAGAGTCTGATTTCAAACAGAACAGAGAAATTTCACATGAGATAGCTTCACGGAGTAAGCAGCAAGGTTCTTAACTGGAATTAGATAGGACTGAGCTAAAAATTCATGTCTGTCACTTACATATAACCTCGACAAATTAATTTCTTAGTCTCTCTGAGCCTCACTTTCCTCTTCAGTAATGCAAAGATATTGATAATGCTATATATATCTATAAATTCACATATATCTATGTGACATTATAATAAAACACTCCATGTAAAATACCACAGTGCCTAGAACACAATGCATGTTCAGTAACAGCTAGCTGGTATCGTTATAATCCTTGTCAGAGAACTGATCATGGTCTTCAAAATACTTTTATTTGTTTCTTCTTGGGTTCTCTCTGAGCAATCCACAGGACATTATTTGCATTTGATGCATTTAAGAGTTATAAAGGACAGGTATCCAAATGAAATGAGCTGCTGGAGCCCATTCATCTGTTCTTCAAAATTGTCTATTGCTGTAGGAAAACTAAGCAGAAGAAAATTTTATTCTCCTTTGTCACTTGCATTAGTGTATCTAATATCTTAAGGATGGTTCTTAAGTCCAACATCTTAGCAATGCTTCCATAAGTGCTTATATGCTTAAAAGGTCAGGACATTTGGTTCTAGAAGAGAACTGACTAACTCTGGCTACTCAGTATTACTTATTTGACAATTGATATTGGCATGTTTCTCCATTTTTACAAAACTAACTTTTATCCACTATAAATGAGACATTAATTATTTATGCTTGGACAAGGATTATTAAGTGTTCTAAGATCTCTAATTTCAGACCTATAACTCCTGGGTAAGATGAAAGACTGATTGGTTTATACAAAATACCTTTGTCAAATTTTGTTTATCTCTACAGGTCACATTAGATTTTATGACAATTTCTCATACGCTATAACTTGAACCAGTTTCTGGCTCATTACATCTGTTTCCTTATGCCAATAATTTTTCTCTCATTACTGAAATGCTCTATTTGCTGCCACCTCATACCTTTCTTGGCCACATTCATACTGGTGAGTGAGGTTATGATACAGATTTCAAATCTACAGCAGGCATGCCATTTCCATGTGGGAAAGGAAAACAATGAATGTAGAAGAAAGAAAAATGACTGCAACAAGAGATGGCAGAAACTCTGAATTTATCCTTATGGTTTGTCTTCTCACAGGGTCCCTTAGTAAGGAGTAGCTACTGCTAAAAATAACCATGGAGATAGACTCAGAAGTAAAGAAAACTAAAAACAGGAGAAAAGCCATATAAAAAGAACACTCATTCAGTGATACAATAAGCTAAATATTTGAAGAAATTCACTCAATATACTTTAAATTGATATTCAACAGAAAGGATGAACTAAAGACATTTTCAGAGAAAGAAAAAAGTTACCACTCATAGATGCTCTCCAGAAGAATGATTTTAAAAAGCCTAGTTCAGGAAAAATTAAATTAAGACAGTATGTGATTAATTGAGGGAAAAGTAAAAAAGATTTAAAAGCAGAAAACAAAGCTCTCAAATAAACCTATTTACATATAGTAAGTTGATAAAAGACAGAAACAGTATTGCCTATTGCAATATCTGTATTAGATAAGATTTTCTCACCAATGATCATGGTGTTGGTATAATTGGATCCCTCTTCACATTATACACAAGTCTATCCCAAATAGATTGAAGACCTAAATGCAAAAAGTGAAAATCCAACTCTTTAATATGTTTTAGGAAAACATCTTTATGTTAAAAAGGATATCTTTCTTAAATTGCAAAAACCAAACTATAAAAAAATTGTAACTAAATTAAAATTAGAATAATGAAATTTTGTTCATCAGAAGAAACCCCAAAGTAAAAATCCAACCAAAAAAATTAATAAGAAACATGTATAGGCTCAATAGTCAATCAAAAATCAGTACCTTAAATATATGAATAGTTCCAACAAATGAAGAACAGTTCAAACAACTCTATAAAAAAGACAAAAGATATTTATAGACATTTTGTAAATATGAATGTCAATTAAAGATTTGAAAAATAATTGACTCACGAATCAGCTAGAATATACAGATTTTAATCATAATAAGATACATCATGAGATTGGCAAAAATTGAGACCTGAGCTGGGCACCAGTGGCTCAAACCTATAATCCCTGCTACTCAGCAGGCAGAGATCAGGAGGATTATGGCTCGAAGCCAGCCCAGGCAAACAGCTCATGAGACCCTATCTCAAAAAGTTCCATCACAAAAATAGGGCTGGTGGAGTGGCTCAAGGTGTAGGCCCTGAGTTTAAACCCCAGTAACACACACACACACACACGCACATACACACACAATTGAGACTTGAAATGCCAAGTGTTAGTAAGAGTGCAGAACAGTAGAAGTCATTATAAACTGTGTGTTTTAGTGAAAATGTACAAGCATCTGTCAAATAACTCACAATTATCTTGTAGAG